TTATTAAATCAGTAAATAATGCGTAAGCAGTTTAATATGGAAAGTATCATATTCATGTTTGAATGTGTACATCAATATTAAGATGCAGGTACATTCAAATGACAGGTTCGAAACAAGAATAAAACGTGTATCCTAAACTGTACTATTATTCATTATCCAGTTTTGATAATCATTGTTGTTAGAACAAATAACAGATTCAGATTTAAATAAATTGAATGGAAACGTTTTTGAAACAACAGATCTAGTAAAATTTTCTGTAGTACTCAATTCACTAGCGCTTCCTTTTGAACGAACAATAGTCCTTTTTTAAAAGTTTATTTAAGGTTTCATGATGTTTAAAATTATCATTTCAATGGAAAAAATTCCATAAACTATATTGTATTTGTTTACAAATATATTCTTGAGGATAGAGTCGAAATAAATGACAATGATGATTGATAGATCAAAGACTATACACCAGTTTCATGAAAGATAATGATAAACCTATCTGTCACAGAAGAATAAATTCAATCATTCAAAAATAGGACTTAATATGTTAGGGGTCAGATAGTTATTCATAACCGATAATGACTAGAAATTACTCAAAATCTGGAACTGAATAAAATTATTTGAAAAAAAACAAACTATGTCAATCAATTCTGAAACTTTAGTTTAAAGATGTACTCATTAAGAGACTCAGATTTTACAACTTTAATCTCTTTCAATAATGGTGAATGTTCACTCCTTACAAGTCCCAAGCTAACAGACATATTGTATTGTTATCATATACCATAATGACATCATATCGTAATGATTATTATCCATTGTAGATTTTTAAAAATCTTCAATATATGTTATATATGATACTATTTGTTCTAAAGTTTATCTAATAAACTATTTCAAGAAATAAGTAACTGATATCACTTGATTTCATTATTTGTGTTTACCTAAAACAATAGTGTCTAATCAAAATTTATCAATTAACATAATTTTTCTTCCTCCTTTTTTTTAGAATTGCGTCTTTTTTTCTTTTTATATTTATAAAGCCGAATAATCATATGATGGGTATGTAAAATTTGGCTAATATCATTTTTTAATTTTATTTTTTTTGAAAATAAAATCACTTTGTTACTAAGTGAAAATAAATAAATCAGGATTTATGTGTAGTTGACAGCTTTCTTATTTCTTTTATATTTTATATGTACTAATACTAATGATAAGCTGAAATTAATAACAGTAATTGTAATTTATATCACTCCCTCTCTCACTCTCACTCTCCCTGCCTCTCACTCTCTCTCACTATATATATATATATACTTACTTACTTACTTTACTTTCTTTCGCCTGTTACTTTTAATGGAGCATAGGCCGCAGACCAGCATTCTCCAACCCACTCTGTTCTGGGCCTGCTTTTCTAGTTCCATCCAATTCTTGTTCATTTTTCTCATGTCTATTTCCATCTCCCGGCGTAATTTGTTCTTTGGCCTTCCTCTTTTCCCTTGGCCTTCAGGATTCCATGTAAGGGCTTGTCTTGTGTGTCCTATCCACTTCCAGCGCTTCTTCCTGATTTCTTCCTCCGCTGGGATCAGGTTTGTTCTTTCCCACAGTAGGTTGTTGATAATAGTGTCTGGCCAACGGATCCGAAGTGTTTTGCGTAGACAACTGTTAATAAACACTTATATCTTCTGGATGATGGCTTTCGTAGTTCTCCAGGTTTCTGCCCCATATAGTAGAACTGTCTTGACATTTGTATTGAATATATATATATATATATATATTAAATTTTACAGTCCAGTCAGGTATCCAAAATTTTTTAGTTTTAACATTTTTGTAAACTCAAAAGATTTTTTAGACATAATGATTTTTTCTGTGTAACTGTACAGAAATAGTTTTGTTAAGATCATACATATCTTCATGAACTTAAATTAGTCAAAGTATATTAAATGAGAAAAGGCTAATGGATAGTAGTTTCACTCTACTTTTAAACTAATCACTAATTCACTTTTTGATTTACAATAAAAGGGCTGTCAGATATATTATAATTCTTATCTGCCTACCATCTGACATTAATTTTTTTAACTAAAACTACTTTTAAGTATTTCATTTATTAGTCGGTCAGATAATGGCATATATTTATGTTTTATTTTAAAAATATACACAAATAAAACTTACGAAAACATAGTTTACTCTTTTTCTTATGAACTAAGTTACATTGAACACACAAAGCTACTTCTCTTTCGAACTCATCTCCACACATTACCCTTCAGTGGTCTTGAAAAGAAAAGTGCAAAACAATCAATGATTCAATATTGAATCATCTCATTAATTCTGATGACACTGTTCAACCAGAAATGTCTTTCAAGATTATTTACACGGTCAATTGATTAGTTATTGCAGAGGCTTTGGCAATTCAACATCTGTGTAATCTCTCATTCTGACATTCTCTTAATACTCTTAGATTTTAGTTATTAAGAGGTTCTTATAGTTTTTTAAACTCAAAAAAACTTTTTTTGCTATTAAATCCACATGTTTTATTCCTTCCTCACATTGATCAAGTCGAAAGTAATCTCTCATACTTATTCTCTAAAGAAGTGACTTAAAATGAACTCAAAAAAACGCTAGAAATTCAGATTTTTGCTCACTGCTACATCATGAAATAATCATCATTATTTTCTTTACAAGTAATTTACCAATACTCAATTTATTTGTTATTACATAATCGAACCTTTTACTTTTTATATCTATCTGTGATATTTCGAAATATTTTGTGATGTAATCAAATTCTATTTTTTTTGATAGACTTTTCTATCTGTTAAATCATTCTAAATACAATGTTACAAGTTCAATGAAAGATACTATGGAAACGAAAATCTCCTCCTGGGTTATCTTTACATTATTTGAGTCTTTAATGAGTTATTTTTAACATTTTGTGAAACTTGATTGATTGAAATGATGAATGAATAACCTAATGAATTTCATTACAGATAAATAAGAGTTATGGAATTGAAAACTTCCAAAACCATTTTTTTAAAATAAACAATTGTCAATCTTTTTTAGATCATTCTCGTCTGCTCACGATTTCCTACGAAGTCAAATAAAGCAGCGAAAGAGATAAATTTTAGCGATTGATTTGTCATTCATTATTATACAACCACAATTTTATATTTATAAACCACTGTTAATTGAAAATTACTTCCCCATTGATTTGACGTATTGTACAGGCTACAGTTTCCCACTGGAATGTTAAGAGATATAACACTTGTGAAAGCACTTAAATGATTCCTAACATTTCTCCAATTCATATCAGTTATTGACAAAACATTTGTTAAAAGGATGTAAAACGTATTTGTTGCTCTTTTCAATCACATGATTAGTGAAAAGTTAATAACGTACAGCGGAAATAATAGAAGTACTTTATATTCTTTTACAGTAAGACTGTCACTTCTGACTGTTTTCCTTCATAGTTAAAATTAGTTTTATTTATGATTTTCGGTAAAAAATATATTTTAACTCCTAACTTTAAATATGAACAAATATTTTCTAAATCTAAAAAGTCCTTATTAAAAATAAATCACCTATGATCATTGTTTCAGCTCTAAATTGGTTGTAATTACTTGATCTTTCTCCTTGAATTGTGTTAATCTACCATAGTGAAGCTAGTCACTAAAAAGGCATTGATGTATAATCTGGAATCCCCTCATAGATCTGATCACCATATGATTCCTGTGAAATCTATGAAACTGCTAAACATATTTACGAAAAAAAACATCATCTCCTTCAACAAGTAACAAGATTTCATCATAAAAATGAAAAATTATAACCCATATAAACAAATTCTTGGCTAAAATGTAAAATTTCATTAAGATACAGATTAATTCATCAATCAAACAACTAAGAATTTATTTAGCACTCACTGAAATCTTCTAGAAATTCAAATTCAATGATTAAATACATTGATACTATTAGAAAGACTTGAATTTCATGTATATGAATTATCTAAAATTAAATACTTGAAAAGTAATTAAATCTTGTATTTTACTCATATTTAACAATAAAACAACCTTACAATCTCATAGATACAACTACCATACTAATAACAGGTCTTTTTAAAGATTTTCTCCAAATATATGTTGTATCACTACCTGCATAAAATAGAAACAAAACGAAATTCCATGATGAGTGCAAAATTAAATTATACACTGAATAGTATTATATTCTGTCATAGAAAATGAATAATAACATGTAATTGAGAAATAAACTTTCTATTATACAATTCATAAATAGAAAACAAAAATAATAATCATTATCATATTAATGTGTTCAATAGAAGAAAAAAATATAGTGTACACATTCTATTGGTTAAGAATATCTAAGGCATAGAAATACAATGAATCATTTCAGTTAGTAACATACTAACAGAATACACTATCTTTATTTCTCACATATTACATAGTACTTTCTGTATACTTATATGAATAAAGAAACACAAACTAAGCATATGTGTATAATGAATTAGTTTCGTTAGTTAGATATCTCAAATTTGTACATATATTAATCACTATGTATGGTAGCATATCGATTTATTTCTAAGTAACATTTACTCATCCAATTCTAAAACATCTAGGTTATTTATTCACAATAATGTTACATAGAACACAAACACAAATTTATGTAAATTACTGTATATTATCAATAGAATGTAAGCATATTATTCAAGTTTAAAATTTACATACAAGCCAAATAGTTAAACTAAAATATGCACCAACTATAACTCACCCGATAAAAAAAAACACAATGAGATCAATTTATGTAAAGAAAGAAATGTTGGTCAATTAAATACTACACAATGAAAATGCACACTTACAGGCAATCATGATTCCATTTTGACAATATATATAATGTATATATAAATAGAGTTTAAACATTGAAATGAAAAGCATTCAAATTGAAGTTATTCAATAAAAGATTTGTTTGAATTCACTTCTTATATTCTTTATTGAAATAACATTTTAATATAAGACATGGATAGTCCAATGGAAAAATTTATTCAAATTTATTTAACTTTAATTCGTGATAATGATGAAAGTGTTGAAACAAGCAAACTTAGTGAAAGTTGTAGAAGAGAAAAACTTGATATGAAACAAGTGAATGTAAGTAGTATCGTTTAATTTTGTGTTTACTAAATTATTACTGGCAAATAAATGTTTTGTTATATACATGTATATGCATAACTATTTTGTGTTATAAGTAATATTATTTACCTGGACATGACATTTTTTACAGAAGAACGTTAAGCACAAATTATTCTGAACATTTCGATAGATATTTACTACAGATATTGTACTACATTTGATTAAGTCAATAACCTTTCAAAAGTTTTGAAAAATTATCCTCTGATAGAAACTTGTTGAAACATTATCTGATCGAATTCTATTACAACAAACCGTTTTGTTTTTCTTAAGTCAGTTGCTCATGTTGTTGTTTTCACAAAAAAAGTTTTTTGTTTTCTTTCATTTAAATTTAGGACTGGATTGCACTTTTTGATGTAGACAAAGATCAGAAAATCACATTTGAAGAATTTTGTCGAGGATTAGGATTGAAACAGAATGAAATGTAAGTGCAAATGTATAAATTCATTTTACTTTTTTAAAATTACTCATAATCATTTAATTACAGTGTGAAATATGACTTTATCCCCTTTCATTATTATATTGTTAGTTTGAATTTGACAGTAAGAAAACATGATCAATTTAGCTACTTAATGATGATACTTTAAACACTAGTCACTCGATCAATGTTAGTACTCAAAACATAATCTGTTTCTAATATGGCTTAATTGACACCATAAAACAATGTTCATAGACGCGTTCCTATTTTACTAACCCGAAAGCAAACAAATGAAAAATGTAACTAAGTTAAACATTTATGGAGTCGAAAAGTTATTATCAACTAAATTGATTGTGAACAAAACTCTATTGAATGTTTCAAACTGTTAAAATTTACTATGTCAAAATTTCTTTCTGAATGCACAATCGCAGAATGCATCAGTGTAGATTAGTACTCAACGTATTTGATGCATAATTCCTGAAATAAATAATAAATTTACACTGAATTAAAACAGATTTAATAAACGAATATATCGTAACATCTTAATTCTATGTGATCAACAAGAAAAAATGTCTGTATCCAACTGATGTGTAGTAGAGAATTTCTGTTTTCGTAAAAAGAATTTTCATCTCATTACAAGAATTCAAGGATTTCCGAAATTCACATAAACACGTTTCTACTTCAAAACATTGTTCTTTCCAATAACCTACTTAAAAAACAAAAGTTAATTTGTAAGACACTAACTGATACTTAGTGAAATGCATACAAAATTCCCGAAGAAATCGAAAGGATCACTTTGAATTAACTATATAATTAACAACAATGAGAATCGAGATAGAATGAAACAAACAATCAATCCTATTCAATGCTAAAATAGGTCCTTATACTACACACTATATTTACAAAAGCTTCAGTATATCGTCATATATTAATCAGTGTAGATGATAATTCACTAATTAAACATCCTAAATTGACTAAGCTTAATGAATATATCGGTGTAAATATCACTTCATAAAATGTTCGATTTGAAGGTATATGACAATGTATGTGACAAATCGATTACTTAGTCAACAGTTCATCGTAATCACACACAACTACTTGAAACTATTCAAAATAAAGTAATTTGATAAGGAAACTAGTCACCGGTAGAACAGTCTGTAATGTTGAAATGAATCTAATATGAAGGGATGATACTAGAATAATATTGACAATGCGGTAATAGTGTTTACCAATCTAGAATTATACTGTTCATCATCTCTGTTTCAAATCGGAATTTTACTGCTTTTATAGTTAGACGAATTCTCTACAATTGAATCTTGATGATTGAGTAGTGGAAACGAGATTGTCGTGAATGTTTGTTTTATTGAAGGAAACTGGTTATAGTGGAATGTTGGAAGCATGTATTTGATTGAAATGATAAATGCATTCATCACTGAGTTTAATTTGTGTGCATACTAGACTGTTTTATTCAGTGTAGAAATAGAGTGATGTACTGTGCTGGAGCCTATACACAGTGCTTTAGAAAGAGAATTGTTCTAGAGAGCAAGTAAAAATGAAATTGTATAATTATATTGTGTTAATTTGTTGTTAACGAGAAAGATGAAAATGAAAATTTATCTCATTTGTACATTAATTTAAATTGATTTTTCTGATAATTAATTTAAAACTATGATGGTATGTATGTTTTTTAACAGAATAATAAAAACACAAGCGATTCCCAATACAATAATAAGTAATATATTTGATATCATCAAAATTAGATATACTTAACTTTGGTATTTTAATAATAAAACACTCATAACACTATTTAAAACATTTATTGTCAACATAGACGAGACGTAAATGTCATATAGAACTCAAATTTCACATTACACTTGATCTGTTAAAGTTAGAAAGTTTTGCCTAACAACAATGGATTGTAGATTTGAACTCTACTCAACCTACTAATTCTGTCAGCTATATAGGATTAATTATTCTCAAATTAGAAAATGTAATTAAAGATGGAGTGTGGTAAATTTTACTTATGTGATATATTAGCGCAATATATTTTGATTAATCTGATTACACATTTACCTGTACCTAAATGGTTACAAAAACATATAGAATCAAATGACTTCATAAGAGTAGAGGATAAACATTCATCATCCTCTATTTTCAAACACATAGTTGAAATAGGTTATACTATGGGTCATAACTCGGCTTTTGTAGTGTTGAATAAAAGTGTGAAAGAACGTCTACTAAGGTTTACTGAAGACTAAGCCATACGAAAATTTGAATCCCCTTCATGTATTCAAAAAAAGTTTATTCTAACTTTAAACTAAGCTTATTATCCAGAGTGATGAGGTTTCAAATCGTTTTCACATTATTTTCTTTATTATCCTTGTCTCCTCCTACCCTCCATTTCCAGTTTAGTTACCCTTTCATTTTTTCAGATATAAGTGTTCTTAACAAGTATATATTTGGCCAGATTGTTCGCAAAGTACTGCGCTAATACATCATATAGTTCTGATAATCTTCGTCTTCTTATTACACTATCGAAATTTATCAAAGGAACTAAGAAAATAAAAGTTTAAAAAAATAAAAAGAATTCACTCATCTTTACAAGTATATTTACAATAATATAAAAATGAAGTCAAATTTTGTTTGGTATATTATGTACTTACTTAGTTACTTACGCTTGTTACTCCTAATGGAGCATATGCCGTCGGCCAGCATTCTTCAATCCACTCTGGAGAATGCTGGTCGGCGGTACATATCTTGTAACTATATACAAAAGATATATAACATTTAATGATATTTATAACTTTAATCTTTGTGAATTAATATTCTGATATAACGATATTAAAAGTCTTCATATATGTCACTGTAACAAAATTCATTTATATCATTTACAATACAACCACTAAACGTATACAGAATAAGTGTTTATTGATTTGTAGTATTATAAATACATGATATTATCTATGTATCTTTGAGAATAAATGGTTGTTATTTAAAAATCAGTGTTATTCAGTCACTACTAAACAGTATATTGTTTAGTTTTAGAATCTCTTATAGGCAGATTTCTATTTATCATAATCTAATACCATGATAAGCTATAAGTTTTACAGAACCTGACTTAAGTAATTACATTCATTTGTATTTATTACAAAACACTTGTCGATATTCCATTAAAACGTTAAAAGGATATGTAAGTAATCATATCAAGACATTAAGATGGTGTTTTTTGATGCTTATTTATATTATTCTACTGATATTTATTTACAATGAAGAAGATTAAACTGATAGAAAAGGAAACTCTTTTAATTAAAACTACTTCTGTTATTTTTACTTCAGGCGCATTGAACGAAACCACATTAAAACTGTACAATCAGGTAGAGAACCAGACTTGCCAGAAGGAGTAAAAATTATCTCTTCAACAATGCCGAAACCAAAACAAGTTGAAGTAACACAATTATATAAAGATATATTTGATGGAGTTAAAAAAGATCCTGATATGAATAAAGTTGTAAAAACATTCAAAAGTGAATTAGAAAGACGTTATGGACGTGTATGGCAAGTCAATGCTGTGACTCACTCATACTGGGCAAGTTTCTCACATGAACCATTCCAATCAATTCAATTCCAATATGAAAATAAGATCGTTCTTGCTTGGCGTACACCAAGTAACTAAAAAAAAGGAATAGAAGGTTGAAGTATGACCCAGTAACCAGGGAATGACATTCTGTTTAGAAACAAAACCGATATTAAACAATTCCGAAGTTATTAATTCTATTAATATCATGAATAAAATATTTGTCTTTCCCTTTTTTATCTTTCAAAAAATTTAATGTTCTTCCAAATATCTGAACAAACTACTCTCTAGTAATAATTATTATGAAAATATTTTAAGAAGTATAAATTTAGTAAAAAAATTACTCTTTACACTTATTGTGTAACTTTTAATCATATATTGGGCTTACTATATGTCGGATTATATTTATTTCATTTATTGGTGATACATCAATAAACATCAAGGTTAACATTCTGTACAAACAATTACTATGGAATTTCAAATGATTTGTAGATAATATTCGTTGACGACTGTCATTAATTTAGTTACTATTTGGATTTAGGCGGCAATGTACAGTTGTTTAGTCCCAGTATAAAGTCTCACCAACAGTAGACATTTATGGTTGTGCTAAAGTTTAATCACAGATCTGCTAGGTCATTAATTGGTAGCATTATCATTGAGACTACTAATCTAAGTTTCACTAGAGTGCATTTCACTATTTCACTCTATTTAAGTGACTATGCAATTATAAATTATCTTATTTAACTTGTAAGCTTGAATAAATATGAAAACCATTTCTTTGAGGATTTTAAAATGATCTTGAAAAAGTTGGTATCGTTTATGACATTTGTCTGAACACAAACATAATTGAATGTCATAATACTATTGATATTAGACAAAAAAAAGAAACAGAAGTTGGTGAATCTTAGTATAAAACAGTTATGGATAATGTGAAAAACATATCTGATACAAACTTTAATTCTCTAATCAAATATAAGTGATTTGGAAGATTGTTCACATTGTAATAAGTTTTCATCATGAACTGTTTAGAAAAATCTATGAAAACTGAAAAATGACATAAAAACAAACTGTTATTAATTTACAATTTATAAACAGTACGCAAAGATGACAAACATCATGCATAGTTTAATCATAAACTGTTGGATCTAGCAGTATGCGTAATAACCCCATATATATATACAATATATATATACACGAAAAAAAGCACACTAAGTGAAAACAGGAGGTGCTGTCATAAGTTTTGATTGTTTTGTAACGTACGGATTAATATAACTTTATTTAGACTAGTAGATCTCTATATAGATACTTAAATACGGTATAGTTTGTGATGAATTAGACATGACGTAGGAGAGTCATAATATAAGCTCTAAAATAATAAAAACATATAATGTCAACACGAAATTGATTTTTTTAAAAACTTTCAATAATAACAGTGTTTAAACATTCGAAGTCTCTAGAGATTCATTAGTAAAGTGAAATATAATTCATGTAAACAATTTCAAGACAGTATAAAACGAAGGAATTTCTAATGTATGATACAAATGACAGGAGAAAATTTATTCCAAGGATATGACACTATTGTAGTGAACAGAACACGAGTGGGGACAATCAAATGTATTTGACATAAAATTACAGGACTGGTTAATAAAATCTAACAATCATAAAGTAAATGCTTAATTAACTTGCAAAATGTCCATCAATTGTCTCATAATGACTCAGACTTCATTGTTCGTGCATTTTCATAAAAATTACATTCTGTTTCCATTCTTTACTATTTGATCCTCTTGTTTCTCTGCTACTAGACCTTCTGTTCATGACTAACATCATACACTACTTATGTCGACATAAGTAGCATACACCACACTATCATTGTAATTAAATGTTCAACATGTTCACCTTTTATTATTCATGTTATTAGTACTATCTGTTTCATTTCGAATATTTTTGAACTTTATCGAATACATTATCTTACTAAAACTTCCTAGAATTCATTATGAAGCTACAAACTATTTAACTCACAACTATTATCACCCTATTAGTCAATGTTCAATACAAAAATCTGTTATACATATACTGGTTTTTGATAGAATATATAAAGAATAAATAGAGAGTAACAAAAGCTTTTAAACATCTTTTCAGAAGTGTGATAATTAAAATTATCTAACTAATAATATTTCATAGTTTTTTTATTAAAGAAAGTATTTTAAACCTTCTTAACTTTTCATGTTCTAATCACTTAGACCATCGATAAATCATATGATTAAGCTAAAATATTTCCCTAGATTTAGTTTAGATAATACATAGTGTAATTCATTTTGAAACTCGAAGAGTCAAAGAAAAATTTGAAACGTACCGTTTATATTGAAATATTCAGTCTATGAAAAACTATGTTTATTTTCTTCAATAATTAACATCAAGGCATATAATACAAATACTGACGTATGTTATAAGCTTGATTTCAGTATAAGCTAAAATATTCCATTAATTACATAATATATCGACTATATTAAACATGATGCACTGAACGAGAACACTAGCGGGGACAATCAAATGTAGTTGAACAAAAAATTACTGAATAACTTAGTAAAAAAGTAGGAACTATACAGTAAATACTTCATTTGCAAAATATCAGTCAATCGTCTCAGACTTCATTGTTCTTTCGTTTCTATATCAACCATTCTCTGTTCTCATTCTCTTTTCTTCGATCTTCTTAATTTCCTGCTACCACGTATTTCACTATCAACTGATGACATATACTACTTATACCTGTCGACATCAGTAGTACACACCACAATGCTAGTAATGTATATTGAGTACATAAACCTCTCCTCTTCATCTAAATATTAACCGGGACTCAATATTTCTTGTCTGGAAATAGAATCACTTTCAGAATAACTTCGAAAATTTTGACTTCCTGAAAGAAATGATGGATTTTAGGAACTATGTGTTATTTTCCTTTGCTTCGACTCCTATCAAAGCTTTCATATTAAGTCAAAGTAAAACTGTTTGTGTTTGAATCAAACTCAGGCTGATAACAGTTTATTGAAACAGATTATGTTTCAGAATGATCATCTGTGCAAAGACTGTTCGTTTGAGTATGTATTCGACTAGTGAAAAGTCTAATTAATATAAATTTTAGTTAGATTTGTGTATTCAAGTGTATGTATTCGTCAATATAAATAATAATCTACTGAAGTCATGATGTAGTTACAGTGAATTCTTATGCAAGCGGAATACGTGAATATCGGGTAATAGAGGCAGTCGATCAGAAGTCTTAGACCAAGGTTTTAGTCTAGTTAAGAATCACTATCAAAGTGTATTTGTACTTATCACGAAATCAATGTTCACCATAAAATGCGATCCAACTTCATTATGCGACGGATTTTACAACATCCAAAAAGTGTAAATTTACGACCCCATCGGCTTTAACATCAAGAAAGTCCAGGTCTGCAGGTGTTCAGCTTCAGTTAATTCACAACATTATTCAATAATATATAAATCAGTGTTTGTTCAGCCGATCTTATTATACGATTGAGACCAACTTTAAAATTTATAGGTAAATTTTCATCGCTTCGTCAACTTTGTTTAGAGCAAAACACAAAATTGGCTGTATAACTAGTTAATAAACTGCTCAATGTATTTTTTATTGCGAAGAAGTGACGCCACTTATCCCAGGAGTACATAATGTTGCAGATAAATATCATTTTCTACATTTTCCTTATGCTAATTATTAATGATAACTTCTCTTGCAAGACTTGTGATTGCTACCGTACATTATGGAAATAATCTAGCACTCTAAAATGATATCACCTCTGACTTTGAATTTTGATTCACTTTGCTAAGCACTCCATAAATCATGTCATTTTGCCTCAACTTGATAATGTCTATAAATTGACTAGGACTATGTAATTATTTTCAGAATATACCGTTATTACTACTACATAGACTACTATCAATATATTATATTTATTGAACTAACATATACATTAGTGCAAGTTATATATCCTCAGCATACATTTTGGTTACAATCTATTCAAATTTCTATCAATAACACCAAAACGTATTACTACAACCACTACGACCATCATCAAAAATGTAAAAGTATTTATAAACAACTGCCTGTGTAAGATACTGCTTGTCCGTTGGCCGGATACCATCAGCAACGGCCCATTGTGGGGGGAGAAAAAAACTATCTGAAGAAGAAATGAGGAAAAGACGTTGGAAGTGGATAGGACACATATTACGGAAATAATCAAACTGCATCACGAGGTAGATGCTAACTTGAACTCCTGAAGAGAAAGGAAGAGGAGGAAGGATAACTAACATAATATGGAAGCAGACATCGACAGGGTGATTAACAACTGAAAATCATTGCCCAGTACGGAGTTTGATTAGGAACGCCAGTGGGTAGCCTATGCTCCTCGACGAGGGGCGACGGGCACAGATAACTAAGTATTTATTATTATTATCATTATTATTATTATTAATGGCTTTATTCAATATTATATTTTGGTACAATATAGGATTCTCAGAACAGGGTATTTCAACAGGTTACTTATGCAAAAAAATAAAACAGAAACAAAGACAAAAAAGGAATGAGAAAACGTTTAAATAAAAAACGAAAAACTGTACAACTTTTCAAATTAGAGACATGTTAAGAATGCAGGTTATTGACTAGGTTAACTCTAACAACCTGTTCGTCACAGAGTATATTTATTAGGTAAGGTATTATAGAACTTTTATACGTTTGCTTGCGTGCATGGATTTTGATGTAATTACATCACGTTCTAACAGAAGATATACAAGGAGAAAGATATGAGTTAAGGGGATGGTTAGTATCTGATAAGATAACACTTGCCAGGAGCTTGCATGACTTTAGATGTCTATCCACAACCATATTAATAATGACCTCGAAAGACTCATCACACATCTTGCTAAATGCCTTCAGCACACTTCGCAATACAGCAAAGTCCTTTCCCAAGAACCCGGGAAAGAATAATGGAGAACAATGAAGAAGAATAATAGGTAATATGCGAGAATTGACAAATTGTAAGGGTAAACGACGAGTAATCCCAAGAGCATGCAATCTCTTTATGTAGTAGGTCAGACGGAAAACCTTCTTCGATAACAATAAAACGTGAGAAGACCAAGAGAGATCAGAGGAAAAGGAGACAGCAAGATAATTGACCTTCGACACTGTGTTTATCAAAGTCTCCGATGGTACAAGCATTATGGGATCTCAAAATGGTGTTTAGTTTCTGTTCATGTCTCATGCTAAAGTTAACAGCTTGACATTTAAGTATGATACCATTAACAACAGACCAACAATCAA